GTTCTGTCTGGAAGATTATTGAGAAGAAAAACAAAAAGAAAAAGCTAAATAAGTTAATCTAACAAAAACGCGTCAGCTTTTGTGTAACCGCAGGCTGCCCCACTGGCATCATCATACTCACTTTCCCTTTGACACAAAACCACTTATATCAGCATACCGATGCTTTATCCCCCTTCATGTTTGTGTGTATTGTGGGGCAGGAGGGGGGTCTCGCTCTCTGCAACAGACAGTCAAGCAGCCTTGGTGCCGGGGTGGTATTTCGAGTGTTTATAAGGCGAGGTGACCCACTGTGACCGCTGACCCCGACGCAAAGAGGGGAGCAGTGGAGAGGGTCACATGTACCACCGCCGCTCCGCTAATGGATACCAGGATGGAGACGGAGGAGGACATAACCTTCCAGATGCATCCACCTAACTGGTTCTCAGAACTTAAAAGGCCTTTACCGGATTTTAGATTTTTAGGGAATTTCTTAAACGAGGCACCAAAATTAGCTCATTCTCAGTGTGAGAATGTTTTCTTTGTTCTGGAAGGTGAAGCATACCTCAGTTAGATAAGCGCCGGCGTCTTGTGATGCTGCAAGGATTAAGAAATGGTTGGATTGTTTAAAAAAAAAAGAGAAGATGTCTGAAAGTCAGATCTAAAACTCAGAAGCTTTAAGTTTCTACCGCATGTCTACTGTAACCTTTAATAGTATATGGGAACATTTCAGCAGCTTAACTACAGCTGTCCTCATGATAGACGATTACGGTTAAAATATTTATAGAAATCTTTTTTTCCTAGCAGTTATTGGAATACCCACTGTGTAGCTTTCTTAATTTACCCATGGCTTTAGTTGAAAATTACAGGCTGGGTCCAGGGTTATGCTTATAAGGCAGCAGTGGTCTGAAGAACCACCTCATCAGCGATTGATCGCGGAGCGTTCTGGTTGTTTTGCACTTTGACATGTCACGTTTTCACCGTCTAGTGGCTCTATTTCCACGGCCAAGCTTCCTTTCCTGTGGTGCAGTTGTTTCAAAATTCTACAGGCAGTCAACAGAAATAAAAAAGAATGGAATAATCTCATACTGAGATTCTCCAACTTTTCTTTGTGTCCCAAACTATGCATTGAATAATTTGGGGTAATGTTTAACTTTAAGATATAAAATATCATGTGGAGTTGGTGACACGCTACCCTAACCTGCATCCTTACTGACAGTTAGGTTCTTCGGTATACATGTCAATTTTGTGGTGCAGTAAATTAATTTTAAGGAAAAAGTTAAGCGAAAGCTTTTTTTATCGCAATTAGCAATAAGTAGTGTCTAGATTAGATCCTTGTATCACAGTCTGATGTTAAAACACCTTATAAATGTGCTCTCAAGATTATTTTTTTAGTTTTAAAGCAGAGCATAATAAAAAAAAAAAAGACTAATAAATACTTTACGATATGGCATAAAGAATTCAAATACACAGAAAGAATAAAAATACACTGTTTTTTTCCCCCTACAAGTTATTACCTGATACCGGTATAAAGTTCTGCTTCCCTATTGGTATTGTCTTGATATTTTCTTATTTCCATTTTGTAGCTAAAACATTGTTTGCAGGGGTGTTACAAATGTGTTAATCATATGAATCTTAGAACTAAGACCAAAAGGACCCAGTATTTGAGGCGTAAAAACAGTTAGGTTTAACAAAACCTTTATTTAAGACGGAGCTGCAGAGAAGGACGTCGGCATCTAAGGCAGGAACCTCTGCAGGGGGAGAACGCAGGTTAATGTCTGTCTATCTGGCGGGGATGATAAAGAATATGTGAGTCCATAACATGGTCTTATAGTTCAGTGCGTGCCCAGAGGACGAGGTTGGATCCAGATGGTCAGCTGCCGACAAGATGCGTTGTGCGCCGCATAGAGAGTCCCAGACGCTGAAGACTCGGATGTCGGAGAACAGGCAGAAGATCAGAACCGAGCAGATGAAGGAAGGCAGGATAATCCAGAGTGATAAGCCAAAGCTGGTGTCGAAGAAGTGTTTTGGAGTAAGAGCCAGCAGATCAGAGGTCCAAAGGGGAACCAAAGGGAAATCCAGAACGATGTTGGGAAAGAACGATGAGGTTCAGTTAACAGACAGGCAAAAATCTAGCAGGAGTCCGAGGACAGGCCAGGCAAACAGATCAGAACTCAGAAGTCAAGAGGCAGAACGGGTCAGGATCAGGCATTGAGAAACTCTCAGGTATGCTAGAGAAATCTCTCTACAGGCTGGAGTAATCTGGCACTGATGGCTGGTCTGAATGCTGGTCAAATGGAAGCTGAAACAGGAGGAACAGATGAACGGTAATGAGACCTGGACTGAGTGAGGCAGGTGATTGAAATGAGTTATCAGACCATCAGCGCCAAGATCATGACAATGATGGGCATTTTTATAGGGTTATATACTTTAGTTGTTTTTGATGCTATTGTTCCATGATTAATATTTGCACTCTGTAGTTTCAAATTATTTAAATTGCCTCCATAGGAATATAATAACAGATATTAATCATTTCATTGAAACAGTTTTCATCTACCTTTCATTTTCCCTCTGATACATCTCAATTCATCCTTTACTTCTTTCCATCTCGGTTTCCTTGCTTCCTTCCTCCTCTTCTGTCATGACATCATCTGACCTCGGTGTGGTTGGGGTTTAGTAGGAGGGCTGCAGCTATATTAAACCGGGCCGGGTTTATTTTCGCACTCCTTTGATCCGTCCTTGTTAGAGCCTCCTGCCGCAGGGCCACAGGGCCGCGGGGCCTGCCAGCCTCAGCTTTATAAACCCTCACAGTTTGTAAAATAAAACACACTCAGAATGGGGACAAACCCGGCCGTAAAGACTGGGTGTGAAACTTGAGAGAATTAGGCGACGCTGGTTGTGTCCAGTCCCACGCTGCATGTTGCTGTGCTGACGGACACGGTGCGCAGTGTGTCGGAAGGCGACAGGAGGTTTGTTGTGCTGGTGTGAAAATTCACAGCTCACTTTTAAGGCTGAGTCATATTTTATTTCTCAGGCTGCAAGTTTCAAACTTGGAAAAGTGATAGTGGTCTTCTAATGGTCTGACTTTATTGAATCCTATAAGTATACTTGCATGTTTGGTATTGCAAATTGGTCTCTTCAGACATGTGCAAATATCAGGCATTAAAGTGATTGTTCTGGGTGTTAGAAATAAAAAAGTTTCTCACTCTAAAACACGATCCTGCTTGATTTAAACTAATCCTGCTCTGAGTGTGTTTAGGGTGGATCTCGACTCCTGTATGTAGCATCTTCTACTTTTACATGCCTGTGAAAATCCTCAGTCATCAGGTTGATAGGAAACACAAAACAGGTTTAAATTGGATGCAACTAGACTTTTGCTCTGTTGTTCTGAAACTGTTGCGACAGATATTCAGATGTCTTTGACAGTTCTGTTAGTTCACAATGAAACAAGCTGTAGCTCAAGTGCTGAGGTTGGAAGCCCCTCCTCCTTACGGCATGTGATCTTCCTGTCGTTCTTCTGGGTCATTGGAGTCGTTGGTTTGTTGTTATATTTATATCAAGTCATTTGAATCGTTATGACATTGCTTAACTAATTTGCTTGAAACTAAAACAACTGGATTTTTCACATCTATTCTACACGCTCTGTCGCAAAAGAGACAAACAAGTCTTTGTTTTGTGTTTGATAATGACTTTGTTCTTTATATATTTTCATAAAGATTGTTGGATGCATCAATAATCTGTCGTCCTATGAGGTGTTGCAAGGACAGATTATCGAGAGGTCGATTTTCTCTGGAGGCGAAACATCTCTGAGGTGTTTCCCCTCCAGAGAAAATCGACCTCTCGTCATCACTACATTCATCTTCCTTTCGCCCAGCCTTTGAGCCCATGTCTAGGTTTTGCATTCGCGCCATACCTTGATCCTTTTTCAGATTAAAGATTCAACATAGCTCTGAGATGTTCAAAGCTTGGTTTATTGTTTTACTACCTACCTCAGTTATCAATTTATTCACCCCTAACCTTATATGGGATGTAAATTATCTTTCTAATGCTGATAATACTGAGAATATATATACACAAATTACTACAAAAGTCTACAAATTACTGAACCTTTAGGCTATAGGCCTTAGATGAACTAAAATACGCCCTTTATGTTGCTACATGTAGTAAACATGACTATAATTTAATTATATTTTTGCCTGTTTCTGCACATGTATTGAAATGTAGAAATGGTTTGAGTCATTTAACTTTTACAAATATAGAAGTAATATCCTTAAAAGTCCCATTAATCTTCAATTAGAATAATTTTTTTCTAAATAGGCTGATTATACTTTGTGCCTTTTCTGTAACTGTAACTGTGAGTGCAGTGTTCTTTTTTTAAGCTTCCATTTAGCTCATACTAAAGCAATTTTCCTTCTAAGGCATCTTACTAATTTATAGAGAACTGTTTTTTAGATGCAGTCTGCAAGAGAAGGTGTCTGACAAAGAGGATTGCACCAAATCTGCCCATAAATTTTAGAAATAGAGTCATCATATGTTGATTTAAAGTGTCCTAAAGAGCTTTTTGTTAATATGAAGAAAGAAAAAAAGGATAAATAATTGAAGGCTTACGTAGTGCTCGTGCTTTAAATCAGAAACGCAAGGTTGGTCATGTCAGGGTAATAAAAACTGAACATTAAATAATTACATTTGGGGGTGATTACCTCAAACAATGAGCCTCATGAGGACTTAATGTTTGTCTGCTTTTTCCAGAAAGCTTTAAAGCATCTTTATTAGGTGCCATCTTTGTAAGGATAGCTGTCTCCAAGCACTTACTTTAAAGCAAAAAAAAAAGCTGCAATTTGGACTCTGAATGTTATGATTTTATAAAACGGTTCTTCAAGTTTTCAAATTAACTGGCAACGGAAAACAACATACAGAAAAAAGGAAGAGATTAAATTAGAATCGATGCAAATGTTGGAATAAAGTCGTAGGTTTGAGATAAAGCATGAAAATAACAGCGGGGGCTTTTTTCCCCCTCTCTGCAGGACGGGAAAGCAGACTGTAAACAGGAGAAATGTCCGCTGGTGTCTGAAGACTGTGCCCTGGTGGTGAAACAGACCGGCGCCTGCTGTGAGAGGTGTAAAGGTAAGACAGACCAGCAGAGCCGGAGAAAGACGACCCTCTGCCACTATGTGTTTTGACCCTGATATGACAGCGATGATGATAACAATGAACCTTGGAGGGTTTATTGTAGCTCTGAGGTATCTGCAGCTGCAAGACTTTAATAGAGGGGGGGCTGTTATAACACAGAAACATAAAGCTCATACAGACTTACCAAACCATCAGAGACCACTTTATCGCTCTGTATGCAAACAGCCAGGCCTTAATGCAACCTGTGGGAGTAAATCTGCATGCTTTTTTTCACGTCATTTGAAGCCACGTACACACAGCTGCAGCGTGTGGAGACAGTTTGGCTGCGGAGGGGGTTCACCGTCAGGTTTACAAGCAACAGAAATACAGTTACTTTTATGAGTCTGAAATCATGCTAGAGGATATGTTTGTTTATACATCCATGGGCTGCATCTTTCTGAGCTTTACCTTAAACATCTCTGAAAAATAAGCAAATTTAAACACGCTTAAGGGTTGCCTTATTATTTGATAGATTTGAAATAAAGTTCACAAATTGTTGATACTAGAAAATGTTGGTCAAATTTAATTTGAAGCTAAATGGGTATAGCAGATCTTTACATCTTCATTTCACTTTATTTATTTATTTTTTATTATAGCATATAAAAAATGCAATAGCTTGCATGGAAGATCTCAGTTTTCCAGAAATCTGGCCCATAAAGGAGATATGAAAAAAAAATTACCTGCAAAACCAATGAGTAAGTAAAGAATCCATCCAGATAATCAAATTAAAAGCATCAGATTAAGTATTTTGCTCAACCAGAACAAAAAGCCTCTGTTTAGACATTTTTTGTTTGTTTGATATTTTGTCATTTTCATCTAATTGTTCAAAATAGGAGCTTTGACTAAAAAGTTTCCCCTTTTTAATTTTAGCCTTTATCTGTTTTTTCTTCACTTCACCAGATTTTAACCTTTCCTAAAAAAGTACTATTTGGAGAAATTGATAAATGGTCCATTGTTCTTTACAGTGCATCTTTTTATACTTGAAGGATTATTTCCTCTTTACAACACAGTTATTACAGTGGCATAATCTATCAAAGCAATAGGTTTCCTTTTCTTACCAGCCTCAACAAAGTGCACCATGGGAAAATGTATTTCTAATTAATCAGGAAGTAAGTTTCTTGCTTGTTCAATTATATTTGACTGTATGTTCAAGTTTAGTCAGATAAATATTTTCTGGAGCCCATTTTCTGACTTATGAAGATCGTCTCACATCTGCCTTCCTTGATAAAAGGTTTCAGTGTTCTCCTGTCCTTTCGGTTTGGAAAAATTGTTATAAGATGTGTTAAGTTATATTCCACACTTGTGGAAAAGGGTTTGGTGGATTATTGGTTCCTCCCCACTCAGTGTCGGCCATTTTGATTCATAGGAGCTGTAAGGCCAGACAGTCATCCTAACAGTTTAGGTTTTATTTCAGAATAATTTCTCAGCAGGATTTCATTTTCCTTCTGGTTAAAGCTTCTTCTTAGATGTTTTGAAGATTTTTAGTTTTCTAATATTTTATGTCATTAATATGTGAGGAGTTTTTTGCATCTTTACAAGAAGAGCAGGAATAAATGTTTTAACCTCATTATGCTAAACATTTCTGTAATTTCATCACCAGTGAGGTATGAAAGGTTTGTTTTTTAGATGTTTATCTGGTTTAGCTCATATACAGGTGCTGGTCATAAAATTAGAATATCATGAAAAAGTAGATTGATTTCAGTAATTCCATTTAAAAAGTGAAACTTGTATATTATATTCATACATTACATACAAACTCATATATTTCAGATGTTTATTTTGTTTAATTTTGATGATTACAAATGACAACAAATGAAAATCTCAAATTCATCATATCAGAAAATTAGAATATTGTGAAAAGGTTCAAAATTGATGGCCCCTGGTGCCACACTCTAATCAGCTAATTAACTCAAACCACCTGCAAAAGCCTTTAAATGGTCTTTCAGTCTAGTTCTATAGGCTACACAATCATGGGGAAGACTGCTGACTTGACAGTTGTCCAAAAGACGACCATCGACACCTTGCACAAGGAGGGCAAGACACAAAAGGTCATCGCTTAAGAGGCTGGCTGTTCACAGAGCTCAGTGTCCAAGCACATTAATAGAGAGGCGAAGGGAAGGAAAAGATGTGGTCGAAAAAAGTGTACAAGCAAGAGAGATAACCGCACCCTGGAGAGGATTGTGAAACAAAACCCCTTCAAAAATGTGGGGGAGATTCACAAAGAGTGGACTGCAGCTGGAGTGAGTGCTTCAAGAACCACCACACACAGACGTATGAAAGACATGGGTTTCTGCTGTCGCATTCCTTGTGTCAAGCCACTCTTGAACCATAGACAGCGTCAGAAGCGTCTAAAGAGAAACAGGACTGGACTGCTGGTGAGTGGTCCAAAGTCATGTTCTCTGATTAAAGTAAATTTTGCATTTCCTTTGGAAATCAAGGTCCCAGAGTCTGGAGGAAAAGAAGAGAGGCACTTCATCCACGTTGCTTGAAGTCCAGTGTAAAGTTTCCACAGTCAGTGATGGTTTGGGGTGCCATGTCATCTGCTGGTGTTGGTCCATTGTGTTTTCTGAGGTCCAGGGTCAACGCAGCCACATACCAGGAAGTTTTAGAGCACTTCATGCTTCCTGCAGCTGACCAACTTTTTGGAGATGCAGATTTCATTTTCCAACAGGACTTGGCACCTGCACACAGTGCCAAAGCTACCAGTACCTGGTTGAAGGACCATGGTATCCCTGTTCTTAATTGGCCAGCAAACTCTCCTGACCTTAACCCCATAGAAAATCTATGGGGTATTGTGAAGAAGAAGATGCAATACACCAGACCCAACAATTCAGAAGAGCTAAAAGCCACTATTAGAGCAACCTGGGCTATCATAACACCTGAGCAGTGCCACAGACTGATCGACTCCATGCCACGCCGCATTGCTGCAGTAATACAGGCCAAAGGAGGCCCAACTAAATACTGAGTGCTGTACATGCTCATACTTTTCATGTTCATACTTTTCAGTTGGCCAACATTTCTATAAATCCTTTGTTTTTATTGGTCTTCAGTAATATTCTAATTTTCTGATATGATGAATTTGAGATTTTCATTTGTTGTCATTTGTAATCATCAAAATTAAACAAAATAAACATCTGAAATATATGAGTTTGTATGTAATGTATGAATATAATATACAAGTTTCACTTTTTAAATGGAATTACTGAAATCAATCTACTTTTTCATGATATTCTAATTTTATGACCAGCACCTGTAATTCATGTACAGGCCACGTTTATAATGCTTAAGAAAAATAAATTCAAAGTAAACCTTTAAAGGATACTAAAAAAACATTTTCTAAAATCAAAAGAAAATATGTATTTTTTAATGTAACCCTTAAAAGTTATTGTGTATAATAATGTACATAATACTTATATATTATATTCTCCCTCAGAACTGTCCTTGTGAGTTTCTTGACATCCAAACCTTTTCCTCCATTCCTCCAAAATGTCCTTATTGTTTTGGAATAGGTTTGCTGCAGCCATGCAACTCCATGGAAATATAAAATCCTTCACACCTACCTCCCGCTCCGCCGGGCCACAGCCTATTTGTTTGCAGCTCTCTGTTTTACGACGCAGCACTTCATTAACAGAGGCGGACCTCGTTCCGCTCGGAGCAGAAAAAGCCCTGTGTCGTCACCGCAGCCGCTTTTAGATCTTATTTTGATTCCTGGGACTGAGCAACTAAACCTGCTTTGTCTTTGCCTCTGAGAACACATCAGCATCTCTTTATGAAATTATGCTGACAGTTGATGAGAATCACAGTCAGAACGTTTCACTTTATTACTAAGACTCTGGTCGAGAGTAGCTTAATAACCAACTTTACACTTGCCATAATAAAAAGCAAATTAGCTTTTATTAAAAACTGCTATTTAGGTTTTTTATCACATAAAAAGGAGTTTTCTGTTTGCAGCTTATGCTGATTTAATATTTGAACCATCACCGATCAATATAGCCAATATAGATAGTCAAGCAGAAGTGTTTTATTTTACCTTTAAAGTTTACAAAATCCTTGGAATTGTTGCAACCACAGTAGATTTCAGAACAAAATTAGAAAGGAAAGTAAAAACATCTGGGTTGATGTAGCTTAAATTACAGTAACGTGATTTTAATTGTTTCATGAAGTCTGAGAAATCGACTCTAAAGTATTCAGGATCATAAGAGAGTCATTCTGATTGTGCTTATTCTGCTCTTTTCAAACAAAAACACAACCTTTATTTATGAAGCAGTTTTTATTCAACACTATGTAGCATCATAGGTTTTATATCAACACGTTCACTCTGAAATAAATGCAGGAAAAAACACCACTTACATAGACTGAACATTAAGAAGTCTGGCCTTTAATCAGACTACAGATTATTATTGTCAAAACAAATTATTCCATTTCCAAACTGCTGGTTTGCCCTGTTGATGCTTTAAAATGTTGATGTCTATCATATTTGATAGCGTGAAGATGCAGCTTTATGCTGATAAAATACAAAAAGTAACTAGGAAGAGACAGAAAAAGCTCCTCAATAAAGAATTTACACCCTTTGAATGCAGATTTCAATGTGTTTTATTAGGATTTAATGTGACAGACTAATACAAACTAGCATCCCCAACTAGCCTCAGAAATCTCCTTCTCGGTATGAGACCTAAGTCTCACTGGAAATCCAATCCAGTCTGACTGAACTCGAGCTATTTTGCTAATAACAAATGGGTAGAAATTTTAGTCTCTAGACACGCAAAGCTGGTAGAGACATTAGACTGATCCACTGCATAAAATCCCAATAAACCCCATTGAATAGTGAGCTCATAAATGGTTGTATATTTGGGGAAAGTCCATAATGAAGAATAGTTTCAAAAAGCCCTGTTTTACTGTCACACTGTGTTGGTGTAGGAGTTTGAACAGGATTTTATTACCTAATCTCATCTTTCTTTTCTACATTACTGCAAATCTTCCTGCAGCAGTGATATAGTATCGTAGGATTTATTTGACAAAATAAGAGAGTAGATCAATGGCTGTGATTGGGTTTCAATGTATGAAAAGTTCAACATTGATCTGAGACCGTTTACTGTAACAGGGATGAAATGAATCGGCTTCTCATTCAGCGCTGAAAGGAAAGTGGGTGACAGTGCAGAGGGTGTACAGTAATTTAAAGAGTAGCTGTTACATCTAAATGTTTTCCTCTGAAGCTGTATTTATAGGTGAGCAGTGGAGGGTTGGGGCTGCATGGGCACATTTTTCTGATACCAGATGCTTTATACTGGATCTTAAGCATTTCGTTAGCTAAAACGACATACTTTGAAGCAGTTTGTTAAAATTGGATATTATCGATAAACACGATGGAATTGATATTTATAAAAAAGAACATTAGTTGGTATAATAACCCTGCCTTGAAGTGATCGACTATGCTTAATAAATGCAAAATAACTCAGCTGAGTTTAATTTATGGTCTAAGACTAGATAGGGCTTAATACAACTGTGATTAAAAAAGGAAGAGAAAACAAAAAAACAATAAAAGTGGTTATGTGACTCAATCTGGAAAAGCATTTATTTGGCATACATCCTTAACTCTGAATATTTTCTAATTTAAGTCCTCCAGAAACATGGCTTTACTGCAAAAATATCTGTTTCTGGCACAGAAAAGGTAAAAACAGTGCTAATAGTGCTGGAGAGCAGATTAAACAGAGGCAGGGAATGAGACAAAGCAGGTGTGATAAAAAAAAAAGAAGAGGTGACATCATATAAACACTCGTTTGATCTGTGAAACTGTGAAAGACTTCTCTGTTTTTGCATAAACAGTACTTAAGAACGTTTACATGAAGGCATTTTGAACAGTTAAATGTATGTTTTTGTCCACATCAATGAGTAAAATACCATAAAGCAAGAGTCAGCAGGGATTCTGGTAACTAAGCCAGTAGGTCTTCAGAACTCAAGGTTCTGAAGTAGGAAAATGGATATTAATTAGAAAATAATAAGTTAATTTATTAAACTTTACTGCTGATAAACAATCTTTCAGTTTTATTGTTGCTTTTCATCTTCATCTCAAAGTTCATAAATCTGGATTGTACCTTTTCTTAGACTTTGTCCATTTTGGAACCAAACAGAGAAAACTGCTTTATAATATTTATTAACAAGCTTTACTTTTAAAAAGAAGTTTGGATAAAACTAATCAATCATTTCATTTTTTCTAAGTGAACATTATCCTTTTGCTTCCTTCTTTGTAAACCTCAGCTGCAGAATGTAAATAAGCTTGGGAGAAATGATGTTTCGGTTTTTGCAGACAATCAAGTGTGATTGGGACACCGCATCCGGTTTTTGACTTTCATTAGAATATATGAGACTTGTCATGTGGTAGGAAGAGGCATTTTTGTTTAGCCTTGTGTTGAAATGAGTTAATGCGCTAGATCACTCTTTAATTCTGAATCACATCAGTGACGTTAAGTCAAACATGTGCAGATGTTCTGCGTTGTTGTAGGGAAAATGCTGCAGCTTTCGCTCTCATCTAAACATTCAGGTGACGGTGCTTTGACCTAACAAAAACAATGACACTGTTTTAATTTCAGGAAGTAATCTACAAAATACAGATGGACTTTTTTTCTCATAGAAGAAAAAAGATTTCTGAATGGTTACAGTTGAATTGCCAGAATATTAGTCAAAATCCCCAGCTGGCGATTCTATAAATGTTTAAAAGTTAAAGAGAATTTATAGAGAGAAATGTAATCCTAAAGCCTTGCATTAATCGTCTGTCTGTCTCTTCTCAGGCTGCATGTTAGATGGACGCTCCTATAACAGCTCTGAATCCTGGATGACCTCCACCAAGCCCTGCATAACCAGACGCTGTCAGGTGTGTCTTCATACAGCTGTCCTGACTGCGAGCAGTAAAACTATAAGCATTAAAGATTATTATGCTAGGAAATGATAATTATTAGGGATGCACGATATAATCGGCCCCCTATCGGTATCGGCCTGTACCGGCCTTAAAACTGAATATCGGACATCGGCCACCCCACCGATATTTAACCCGATATTTGATCAGCTTCTGAGTTTCTAAAGTCTAAAAAAAAAAGAAAAATACTACTTCTTCTTCTTCCTCAAAAACTTCTTTTTTACAGACTTAAAAACTTCTAAAGACGAGGGAAAAAATATTGATACATTAAAATATCACAATATCTTCATATGCTGATATATTGCCATTTAAAAACCCCATATCAATCTCTTTTACTAATGAAATATTGCTATATGTCATCGTTATGCTACGAAATCTCTGAAAATCTCTGAAAATTCACAAAATTTTGCCATATTTTTATATGTTGATATATTGACGTGGTATCGGTCTATTTTACTAACAAAGTCTCACAAGAATTTGCAAAATATCACGAGAGTTTGTAACAGAACGATTAAATTTCACGAGATTTTGAAAGTAAAATCGATCGATACCGCGTTTTTAAAAATCAATTTGATATCAACATATGAAAATATATTTGAGTATATTATTTTTCAAAGTGTCAGAAATGGATAACAAAACTGCTATTTTCATTGACTACTTATTTTTGTCCAGCTTTAACATCAGTATCGGTTATCGGCTACATGAGTTTTAAAATATCGGCATATCGGCCAAAATACCAATATTGTGCATCCCTAATAATTATAGGATAAAGAGAAATAAAATTAAAATTATGTGATTCAAAAAGAGTGTAAGGATGTTTTTTTTTATTTACATGTAACACTGAGTTTGCTTCTTGTTCAGGAAGGTGTGATCACAGAGGCAGAGGTGCAGTGTGTCATTCACTGCAAGAACCCAAAACACCATCCGAAAAAGTGCTGCCCAACCTGCCCCAGTGAGTATTAGTGTTAGAAAAATTATTGGTTATTTTACTTTGATTCATTTACAGAATAATCATGTTCTACATGTAAAATAGGAAACTGAAATAAAATTTTCTATATTCAGATTTTTTATTAAGTTTACAGGTTTTCAGTCTCTTTTTAATTCAGAACTCGCTTAAGGCTAGTTTATTTATTTAAAAAGAACTACATTTTGTCTACTTAGATTCTTGTTACTACATAACCTTTTTGTTGTAGTATTTTCAATTATTATTTAGACATTGATATTACTGTTAAAGATACGTTCAGTTCAAACGAATTTCTATCTTTTCAGCTGGTTCTTGCAAAAAGTTTTAGTAGCGATGGCTTTAATGGTTTGGAAATACTTTTTACCAGTTCAAAAGATATGCTTTAAAAGTCGAAACTGAAAATATTTCTGGTGCCTAAACTTCTGCAGGTTGCATCTTTGAGGGCCGCCTTTATAAAGAGAAAGAGGAGTTCAGCCCTGAAGGGAAACCCTGCATCAAGTGCACGTGCACAGTGAGTATACATACGCTTCACATTCACCTTTCCAGCAGGATCCCTGTCCTGCAAATGAGTTAGTTTTGGAGTCTCTAAGGAATCACAAATTTCTGGTTGGAACAACATCCTCCTCCTTGCTTTTCCTCTCCTTTCCTCCTATGTTTTTGCCTCCCCTCTCCATCTCCCATTAGATAAACAAACCCTGCAGGCAGGTCCATAAACACATTAAAGTATTAATGTCCTGACACCCAATAAGGACACCCTGCAGTTTTAGTTTTTACTTTTTTTTGTAACACAAACCCGTTGTCCAACTTTCCCTGTTTGTTTACCAATTTGACCAAACTCCTTCTGACACTAAATGTTTTTTCTGTCTTTCGTTTAAAATCCTGTCCTATGGTTTCATCAGTGATCATAGGAAGATGTTACCTTTACTATATTTCTATTTCACTTTGATAAGCAGACGTTAATTAATAAAAAAAATGATAATAAAGTCCAAAGCATGGCCTGGTTGTCATTTGTGGCCCTTGAACCACTGTAGAAGATTTTTAGCCTCAAATTAAAATGTTCTTAAAATATGTTTGGTTTTTTACACAAAAATATTTGTGTTTTAATAGCCACACATTTTGCTTTTATTTTAGGTTACTAGTATTTTAGATTACTAGTACTACTAGCGGTGATGGGGGGGGGGGGGGGGGGGGGGGGGGGGGGTGGAAGCCTAGTGGTTAGGCTATAGAGCTTGGAATCCTGAGGTTCTGAGTTTGATTCCCACTCCCACAGACCGCCACTCTGGGTCTCTGGGCAAGAACCTTAACCTCACACTGCTCCCCAGGTGCCGCGCAATGGCAGCCCACTGCTTCGCAAGGCAATGGGTTAAATGCAGAGGTAGATTTCTCAAATGACAGATCAATAAGGTTCAATTAGTGAGCAGGACCATAGACATTTAGCATGTTTTACTTAAAAGCATCCAAGTTACGTCCATCCATTAAACTTACTGAAGTCCAGCAAATGTAATAAAGGAAAGATTAATTCTATATACAGTACAGATAAATTATTCAAAAGTTCTTTAGAAAAATAAAGAATTTGAGAAAAGCCATTTTTCATATGATTTAGATCCAAATTCTTCATCAATTAGAAAATATTGCTGAAATTGTGAAAATAAAATGCTTTTCTTTTGGGCTACAAAAGAAGCCAAACGGCCCTCATTCCAAATGAGTGGAGCCCTGCATCTGTTCCAATTTGCATATTTTAAAAACAAAAACAAGCCGTTGTTGGGCTACTGTATTAAATCTCGAACTCAACGTTATTCCTGACATTTTGAATTGAAAAAGCTTCCTGGATGGGAAGCGAAACGTCTTCAAACTTGGAAACAAAGTCCAGTGGATTGTATTTTTTTTTTCTTTTTTGGAATGACTATGATCTGGATGACTGAGAGCCTTCCCCAGCAAAATTAAATGTTGTTCATTGTTAATAAAAGTAAAAAAAATAAAAATCACACTAAATTCACTTTTGCATCTCATGCTAGACATGTAACCTTATAATGGGTATTGCTGATTAGGATGTGTTGTTGTTTTTAGGGAGGGCGAACTCTCTGCATGAAGGAGGTATGTCCTGTGCTTTCATGCCCCGCTCATCTGAGCCAAACCCCCCCTGGACAGTGCTGTCCCAGGTGTATAGGTAAAAACTGGGCTTCAGGCCCCTTTAAATAATCTAGATTTAAACTTCAGACTTTGGATTAATTGATACCTCTTTATTTTTACTGTTTCCTACTTGTGTTTCTCCTCTAGGTCAGAGGAAGGTGTTTGATCTGTCTTTTGGAAGTTGTCTTTTCCACAGTGATGTCTATGAGAACGGTACCTCCTTTATGCTTGACAACTGCACCGCCTGCACATGCAAGGTACTTTACTGGAGATTAAATTTTCTTTGTAAAAAACGATCATTCCATTTATCTTTTCTCTACACAAAATTTAGCATATTTTGAAGAAAGTAAAGCAAATATTCCCTAAAAGAGAAAATATACATTTCATTAAGTATTAATGATCTGACTGTACAGTTTTAATCTGATTCATTGTCAGACAGTGAGGAGACAGAGATCTACATCAGTTTCCAACTGACATCTGTTATCAGCTGTGATTAGCTCTAATCTGATTCTCGTCCTCAAGGATTCAACGGTGGTGTGCAAAAAGCGGTGCTCACGTCCAGGCAGCTGCCAGGGCAGTCAGTGCTGTGACGAATGTCTGTCTCATGTGAAGGTGGAGGAGGTGAAGTACTGCAGAGTACGGAATAAAATCTACAGGGTGAGGACAAGTATGCATGGATTATTGATCGGTTGATTTGGATTTTTTTTTTATACAGTCAGGAATAGACAGTGGGTGCTTAGATGGGATGGGTACATTAATACAGGGGCAGGATGGTGAATGATAATTGATTTTAGAGCTCCCCTTATGGTGGCTGATTAGTATAGCGCCAAGGTGCAGAAAAAACAGTTTTTTTTATTATTTTTAGGATGTTAGATTCAGTTTTTGCACTGTTACAAACGTTAAAAATTGAAATGTTTAAACACAAGCAACTGTTAGTGATTTTGTATTTCTTATTTTTATTTATTTATTTATTTTTCATTGTGTGTGATACATGTACACTTGCACCTTAATTCTTATTCTTATCTTGATATACTGTATATACAGTGCTTGCTTGTTTATTCTTAATGCACCTTTTCCTCCTTGTTTGCACCTTCTTTAATTACTATGCCAATATGTAACCAGTGAATTTCTCTGCTGTGAGATCAATAAAGCTCATCTAATCTAATCTAATAAGTCACAACCAGGTGATTCAGGAATTTAGAAAAGCAGCATTTTAAAACCTTTCAGGCATTAGAATTAGAATATTATAGGTTTAGTGGAGGATTTTTGCAAATTTTTGAAAAGACCTGCACTCTCCACTGAAAAATGCACATGCACAACCCTGCGCCCGCCTCCGAGAGGTAACACCTATTAAACACGTGCCAGAGCGTGCACAAGCCCATTTCTCCTTGTGCACGCTGCTTTTACAAGTTGCTGTTTGCATCACTCACACAAGCTTACTTACCAAAAGAAGATTTGCAATTTTTCCACTATGTCAGACTCACCAACAGTAAGTGAAAATGGGGACAAGCATGTAGGAGGGACTTACGGAATGATTGACAATTAGTAGGACCACTTATTTAGATGATCCACCTGGAAAAAGAACATCCTCCACTATACCTTTAATACTAATTTAATGCCAAAAGTTTAGGCAGAAAATGATTTTTTTGTCTCTTAACCTTTTAATTATGGGTTCTGCGAGTTGTGCTTTAATATTTGTGAGCAAGCTGCTACAGGAATTCAGATGTAGAGCTTATAACATGCTGTAGGAATGTTAAGGTTATATTAACTGTATCTGTGCGCTAATGTTGTGACCCTGTTATGTCTGTAGGAAGGGGACATGTGGTCGTCAGTGAACTGTACTCTTTGTGCCTGCGTTAAAGGCTCTATTGAGTGTCGGCCCAAACAGTGCGTGCCAATCACCAGCTGCCCCTCGGTGAGTGAAGGAAGCTCACTTTTGCTACATCTGTGAAATGACTCTGTCTTCCAGTCTTTATGTCCTTTTTAAACAACCTGCATATCTAACAGGTAGTGTACGAGGTATGGTCCATGACTTCCTGTCATTTTTAGATGCAAATATGTCTCAATATATACAGAACAATAATGCCCATCTTCTATTTTAATAAACCATCAATATTCTGCAAACATTTAATGTTGATTTGAACAAAAATAACATTTAATTGGATAAAATCTCAGATTCCCTGAACTTAGACAGTTAAGTGTAAGTCAGTTCAAGGCTTGAAATTAACCATAGTTTTCAAGAATATAGATGTTCATTTCCTTTGTCGTTTGAATGGCAGCGACATGCTGAGTTTAAAACTGAGAACTGCTTGGAGGAGAAAGGTTGGTGCAGCATTCACCTGTCGCAGAGGTCGCTCCGAAGTCAACTGTCGGTCGGTGGGTGATGGAGTGGATTCCTCACATACTGCCCACCGGTGCTGGTCATGCAGTCAGAGCCAGTGTCAGCGTTAGTCCAAGTTCACACGCTTCCAGTGGTTACAACAAGCCGTCACCTGTTGTTCGCGGTCAGAGCAGAACACTGTAGAATGATGTAGGTGGTCTGTGTTGTCATTTCTATCTGGTGGAAATCATTTGTTAAGTCAGATTAAAGGAGATATTTATGAGGTTGAAATAGTTTTGCTTCAGATAACTTAATTATTATCTATTTATATATTTGTAATTTTTCTTTTACTGATTATTTTGTATTTATCATTCAGAATGTGAGTATAACAATTTTGGGAAGTTAGAAATTTTTTCAAGTTCCTGGGTAAGAAATAGAGTAACACTTTCTTTTACTGTACATCAATAACCATTTAATAATAGGGTAATAACAAAGCAAGTTACACTATATTACTACTTAAAAAGAAGAAACTTTATGGATAATTTTGGTAAGTGCTGTGCTTCAATTTTTAGTCAGACTTCTTAGATTTGAAACTGTTATTAATTACTAGGTAACTCATATTCATTTCGCAGACAGCCATAAATGTGTTATCTTGTAAAATGTAGTTTGTTACTTTGTATATAACAAAAAATCAAACCTAGAAGACAGCAAGGCAATCTTCTTAACTAAACACTTATTTATATGTAACTTGTTTTCAGTTTTATAATGCTTTATTTACCTGATCATAAGTTCCAATTTACTTTATGAGCCGTTGTGAACTTTTATTTGGTTACCTAATGGTAATCATCCACCAAAAGTCTCCATTGTTACATAGAAACATACAATTGTAATAATTATATGTAGTTTATTATTTTGAAATTATATACCTTAATCTTGGGATAATTACCCAAAAAATAGCTGTTCTTGTTACCAAGTACTATAGTGTGACTTACTATGTTATTACATGGTTATTGTTGTACTGTAAAAGAAAGCGTTACCCTATTTCTTACCCAGGAACTTGAACCATTGGATATCTGTTTACTTTTTCTTCTAGTTAAATGTTTCTATTAATTACAGACATTAATAGTCAGTAAAATGCTACATGAAATTATATCCATTTGTTATAGAAAAACACACTAATTGTCAACCCTGGTGTTAATTACTGAATAAAATGTCCTGTGACAAAATTACAAAAGTAGAATATAGCAAAGGTTGAACACATACAGTATTTAAATGTGGCTATGCTTATGTAATGTCTGCACTTCATTGATCAGAGTAGGTTTTTTAAGCTTCAGTCAGCCAAGTTAAGTCAGTGGTTGATCCCTCAGTGAAACTCAAAAAAGGAATAATTAAATTTGCATTCAAAAAGCCGTGAAACTTTTGATTGGATAAAACTGAAGACAATTTTGTTGCATTTTCACATCGCTCTTTAAAACTCCTGAAGGTGTAAATGCTTTTATTGTTTTATAGAGAGTAAAGGGTATATAACGAAGGGAAAATAGATTCAAACATGAGAAGGAACAGCCATGACGGCATAATTGAGCTGCTGAAGGCTTGAATCAGGGAAAATTGATTTACAATCAGTGCTGATTTCAAGGGATGAAATCTGATACACTGTCTGCTTAACCTCTCCTTTCTATGAATCCACACTTTCTAAACATCTCAAAAATAATCGCTCTAAAAAAAAAAACTGAAACCAAGAGAACTGAGAGCTTCGATTGATTAAGCTATAAGAAAAATAACAGCTTTGTACGAATTGGTGACAGTAATCAGGAAGCTTATAGCTCCCATGCTGCTCCAGCTGTCCTTGCTGTGCACAACTGTGACTCCTGACTGACACAGAGGTCACCACAGCCCACAGCACCCTCTCTGAGCTCACGTGGTCACACACAATCTCTGCCATGCTGTCCTTCTGCGGTCAGCGGCAGGTCAGCGGAGTGTCTGGGTCGCCTTTGGAGACAGCGTGTCTCCGAGCAGCCTTTTGTCCGTATTCGATTGAGTGACAGCGGAGAAGAGGTTCCCTATATTTAGGCCCTTGAAAACTAATCTCTGTCACTGTGTGTGCGCTTTGAAAGGGAGTGTGTGTTCCTCTGTGAGTGTGTGTGTGGCCGCTCTTCAAAGACTGAGTGGCCTTTGTGTGGAAGTTAGAGCTGAAGCGCATGTCGAGAGTACAGAGAAGGTCTGCGTGCGATGACAGACGAGTGGCGTGCGCGTGAAAAAGACAGGGCAGGAAAGGTACTGTAGAGTTGGCCTTTCCAGACTTTCAAAGGATAGTTGAGGTAAACCCCAGGGTTACTGTTCGGGTTTCAAAATAAAGGTTTAGAAAAACATTACATCAGTGAGGGTCCTCATTTAGAAGGAGGTCCAAATGAAGGGCTTCCCTCAGGCCACAAGAACTCGGTGTGTAAAAGGCTCCTCTGATCTGTTCCTCTGATGAAGGTTGAAACAAGCTGGATACGCCAACACACACACACATACACACACACACACCTTTACATATGCATTCACTGGCCTGGTACAGTCTGGATCCAGTGGTTTCTGTTACACAAATAAAGTTTCATACTCGCCACTGAAATGTTTGTACCTTTGTGGGGTCCTGAGTTGACTATATATTGAATTATTCATGAACCATTTCTCAGCGTGTACATCTTTCAAACTAGTTGACATGTAAGCTATACATTTTTGAATTTACCGAACTAAGTACGACAGGTGTCAAGTAAGAAAGTAAAACTACTTTTTTTCCTTACTTAAAAGTTTTTTCAAACAACTTTTTACTTCTACTCCTTACATTTTAAAAATAGACTCATTTAAGCTCATTTTCTTTATGGCCTGTTTGTATTTGAAAAGATAAAAACCATCAAAATAATTTGCTTAATCCAGACAGTTAATTTCTTTGTAAAGTAAATCGTTTTACGACATGATGCAAAGTTAAAATTGACACTTTTACCATTAGTTATAAATCTAAGAAACTTAAGTCTAAGGAAGTTATCAGTCAGAAATGTAGAAACATTTTCCTTTAATAGGGTAGTGCGGTAAAGCATCTGTCCTTAACAAATTTCCATCACCAATTTTACTTTTATACTTTAAGCAGTTTTAAAAATTGTACTTTTACTTCAGTAAAAACTGACGTTGATACTCTAACTTCGACAAAAGTGTATTTAAATTGTAGTATTTCTACTGATACTTGAGTTATACACATATATTTTTGACACATCTGCTATCTTCAATTTTAGAAAAACATGATCCATGTTTTTATTAAATATCTATTTTTATATCAAGATTTTATATATTTTTTAGTCAATTAGATGTTTACATGTAGCTTTTCCAGCTTCTCTGAAAAGAATAAATGTTATAAAATCAAAAGTGATAAAAATCTGTTAGATTCACCTCTGAATATTATTAAACAGATAACAGGGAGTCACTATTTGATTTATTGCACTGCAAAAAATCTGAATCTAGATAAGTCATTCTTTCTTAAAATAAGTTAATTTGTTCTTGAATTGAGGAGGTAAAAGAGACATTTTGCCAAAAGAAACAAGACAATTTACACTTAAAATAAGAAAACACTATTGCATTGTCTTATTTCAAGTGCATATTATTTAATTATCCTATTTTAAGAGTAAAATTACTCATTCCATTGGCAAACTATCTCATTTACCTACTCAAATTAAGGGTGAATACACTTAATTTAAGAAATTTTTACTTATTTCTAGATCGTTTTTGCAGTGATAAAGATACAAACAGAGATGCTTCAAACAGCCACAGATTGGAATCAGAAATGTTTTCCTTAACTTGCTCTGATTGGTAATCAGCCAATAAGGGTAAAAATGTCCAGTTCTTTTACTAAGTGAATCTGTTGCTATTTTAATCACTTTTGGTCAGACATCCTGATGTTTTTCTTTATTATCCAGTTTTAACTATGGATCCTCTAATATTGTTGCCTTCCCCATTCTTTTCAGAATAAGATCCTGAACAGAACCGGATGCTGCCCTGTTTGCACTGAAAGTAAGTAAGTCCAACTCATTGGAGTATCTGATAATATTAGCTTTCTTGTAGTATTCCTCATAAGAGTAAAAAAATAGTCAAAACACATTAAAACTAGTCTATTTGATATAGTTTTAGTTTTATTTGTGTCTTTTTTTCACTTTAAAGCACTACTAAAGTATATAAAATGGCATTTCTTAGTCTAATTCTCTACTTCTGAAAGCAAACCTCAGCCTCAGCAGCTCTGGTTAAATGTTCCTCATGTACTTCAGTCCAGACTGTGGTTTATCCTCAGGTCATTTTTCTTCAGCAGAAATCCCCTAGCATGTTCTATTTCAGGAATACAAATACCCTCGAAACCTCATTTATACATAAAATAAAATCTAGTTTTATTTGGGTAGGGCAGACATTTTACCACACCACAGATGTTGGTTTCACTTCTGAGCAAAGCAGATCAGAGCCGCATATTCAGTATTTCTCATAAATTATGTTTTCAGAGTTTGGATTTCAGCTTTCGGATACATTTGCTTTAAAGCTTGTTACGTTCTGATGGTCTTCCACTGCAGTTATTTATAGTCATTGACATATAAACAGCATAAAGTTTTCTGTAATGCTTATTTTTTTAAGGTTTCTTTCAGCATTTTTTCTCTTTCTCTTTGCCGTACAGAACCTGGAGTGTGCACGGTCTTTGGTGATCCTCACTACAACACCTTTGATGGCAGGACCTTTAACTTTCAGGGAACTTGTCAGTACGTGCTGACGCGTGAATGTGGCGGGAACCAAGCTGGAACGCCTGGAAACGGCATCATCAACCCGGAATCCAGCTTCACGGTAGGTGACCAAAACCAGTAGATAGAGGGTGTGGGAATCGACTCAAATCCAGTAAGAGGTAAAAGAGATGAAGAGGAAACTCACAGTAGCCCTGGAGGAAAACCATTTTTACTGTGCATGGACATTTTTTATGATTAAAATTATATTTTAGTTATTTGGATATTCTAACTAGTCTGAATTTGATTCCTTTTCCTTTGGAGTTTTTTTTGTGTTTTTATTAAATTCTTGAAGAAAATTATCTGAAAGTGGAAAATCATTTTGAAAGTAAAATAAATATATTGGAGAGGAAAAAAAATCACACTGCGAAAAAACTGATGCTATTAGAGACTGATGAAAAAGACCCAAACTCTCTCAAAAGTAGATTTTTACTCTCAAATATAGTTTTTTTGCAATCAGAATAAAATTATTTTCTCTCAAAAATAGATTTCTCTCTCAAAAGTCTTTGCTCTCGAGTCAGATTTTTTCTCTCAATATAATAGATGTGTCATGGCGGGCCTGTGTTCCTATTGGACAGTCTCAACAGAATTGTCATCTGAGTGGTGATATTAGGTGCGTTCGAGGTGAGCATCGGAATGTAGACAAGAGTTTACGGCTCTTTTGATGATAAAAGTCTGTATTGAAGTTGGACAGAGAGCTGTCTGCAATTGAACAAGATGGCTGGTAGCGCGTTTGTGTTACGCCACTTATTGGTCGAAAATAAACATTTAAACACTTAGAAACACAAATCAGCCATAAGCTCTTGTCTGCATCCCAGACGAGGTGCTGTTCATCTCAAACACGCCTGCAGGTGGAGCGAGGCAGTCTGGGCAAACGAGAGTTTCCTCATTAGTATTAACGATGGAGGCAGAACCGCCTAATATCATCACTCAGCTGTCAATGCTGCTGAGAATAGCCGATAGGAACACAGGCCTAGCCATGACACAGCTTTCACCCTTAAAGGAATAGTACACCCAAAACATGATTAGCCTTCATTTTCTACTCACCCCCATGCTGAACAACACCCTGGTACTTTTTTGAATTCTCAAATGCATCTGGAGATATTCAGATATTCTGGAGGTTAGTCAATATTCCTCCATACTGCTCGTCCAATGTATTCCAAGTGTCCTGAGTGGGTAGCATCCAGAATTTACTCGAAACGAAGTCATTTAGAATGTTTTTAGAGCATAAACAGTAGTGTATAGGATTTCCTGAAAGCGCGCACCTGCGCGTTCACGATGCTACGGAAGCCGGCAGACCAAACCAGATGAAAGTGCGCATTCAGCGTCTGCTCTGCCAATAATGCAAGCGTAGAAGAAGAAATGTGCTGTTTACCTGTGCAAAGAAAGAAACAACGAAAGAAAAATGTCTGAGGACTTCAGTGTTGAGGAAGAGCATGAGTTCTTTGCTGAGCTGAATGCGCACTTTCATCTGGTTTGGTCTGCCGCGGTTTCCGTAGACTCATGAACGCGCTTTTAGGAAATCCTATACACTACTGTTTATGATCTAAAAACATTCTAAATGACTTCGTTTCGAGTAAATTCTGGATGCTACTCCAGAGTGTTGTTCAGCATGGGGGTGAGTAGAAAATGAAGGCTAATCATGTTTTGGGTGTACTATTCCTTTAAGCAAGAGCAAAGACGAGAAGAGGAGAAACATTTTGAGAGAGAAATCTATTTTGAGAGAAAATGTTTTCACTCCAGTCGCAAAAAAAAAAAAAAGTATTTGAAACCAAAATGTATTTTTAAGAGCTGCTTTTTCCCCTGTAAATGTTAATTTACCTTTTAATTTACTCTATGACAAAATATTTTCTCTCAACTCTTTTTCTTCAGTCTCAAATAACACCAGGTTTTCCTATCTGTGTGAACATGTGTTTTCTCCAATATATTTATTTTAATTTCAAAATTGTTTCCCCCTTTCGGTTAGTTTTTTTTCTTTCTTGAATTTAATAAAAACACAGAAATAACTCTGTCAGGGTCCCTATGTGTGAGTGAGTGCGAGTTATGCATCACTCCCAGAGAGGATCTTTGTGGAGAACCTTGGTAGCCTACACAGGTGAAAATCATCTTTGTCATTAGAGTGCTGGGCTTAAAAGAGCAGCGGAGCCTTCCCTCAGTGCTGCTTTCTTGTGCTGTAGATGTTGTTTTGTTGCTTTCTAGTCTCTTGCTTTCCTCAAGTTTTTCCCTGATGTTTATTGTTTAGTTTTCAGTATTTTTTTATTTTTGCCTCTGTTCCCCTTGAATTTTCATTAAATCATCCGTGCCAACTCCTCTCTGCATTTGGGCCCTCAAAACCGCCACACAACCTGACAAACTCCATATTTTCCCACTAAATAAAACCTAATTCAGCTTTCAGAAGCCATCGGTTTAAGACAATTCACTTGCTCATCAATTAATCCCAGTTTTAACATAGCTGCTTGAAGGCTTGTTGCAGAAGGAGAAAAAAACAGCACAGGAAGGACTAAGAAACATATTTTAAAGGTCAATGAGAAGTTTAAAGCAGGGTTAGGTTATAAAGCCATATTCCAACCTTTAAACATCATGCAGAGGAATTTTTAATCCATCCTCTGAAAACATAAAAAAATGTGGCAAAACTGCAGACGTACCAAGATAAAAAGTCCAACAAACTGGCTGCCAGGCAAAACTGTTTTCATAGTTTTGCCTGGAAGTCAGTTAAGCATTAAAAGAGCTGCAAATATCCACATCTCAGGCAGGAGAACCCATCAACACCTCCCAGCAATCTGTTTTTTGTTCATGAGTAGTAACGTTGTTATAAGTAGTTTGAGTTCCAGTTGCCACAAGCAAATAGGAAAAATGCAAAATGTGACACAGCTTTAATAAAGCTACAGTGTGTAATAATTACAGGGATATAAAGTCAGAAATTTAATATATTATACATAACTATGTTATTTATCATCACCTATGAGCTCAGCCTTTTAACCATAATATTTGCGTTGCCTTAGAATTCGTTATTTATAATTACATAGGAGCGGGTCTCGCAGCCATGGAGGCTGACTTCTTTGCGCTACGGCAAGCGCAGAGGCAACAAACTAGCGATTGCGAGATCTCCCATGACGCTCAAAAATAACTACGGCAAGTTGAGAGAGATGAACTGAGACGGTACTGAACAGTAGATGGCAGTATTATGCCTGAGAAGCGTTTAGTCTGCCTGAAACCAAAGAAGAAGAAGAAGAAGCAGGTATACTGCACCTCAGTAACAAGAAAGGTGAACAAGGCGGCAGGCGTGAGTGACTTTGCAAACTGTTTGGCACTGTGTGGCCAAACATCAGACGAATGGAGGATCATGCCTACTCTGTATCACAACGAAAAGCGGCGGACACCGAACCCCCGTCATCTAAGAAGCGGAAACACGACGAGAATAAACGCAAGCGTGACAAGAAACGGCAAAAAACACGGATCAACATTGGCACGGCATTTACACGATGGAAGTCACTGATGGAGGAAAAAGGTTTTCAAAGTGACGCTCAAGTTGCCAGTTTTCTCTTGGACAGGTAATTAATCCTACACACACAATTGTCTAATATCACTGCAGTTTTTGGAGTACAGGATGCTCAGACCTGTCTAAAACAATAACATGCTGCGGCGTGATGATGCTGTTACTCTCCAGTATACTTATTCAGCAACGTCCCTGACGTTTCACAGGTAATGATTCAGTAATTTTCTGTAAAATAATTTTCTGGATATATACCTCGGTTACTTCTCTCCGGCTCCTTTGGAGATCTTCAAGCCTTTCCTCCTCTGCTCTCACCCCGCTGGCTCCCCTCTCTCGCCTGGCCCTAGCTGCACGGCCTCCCTGCCCTCGCCCTCGTCCTCTCCCTCTTCCTCGCGTTGTAACCCCCGTGCCACCAAAATGACTTGGACTCTGTAAACGGGGAATATATATTCTTCCAGCGAACACAATCTCGCTGTTAAACTAATGACTACAATTACTTCGTCTGTTTATATCACCATGCAAAGCAGCTCGCCAAAACGTCACAACGATGTAGAAAAAATAACGGGTATATTTATTATCTAAAGTCTACATGAAATCTATACCCTACTCAGACTAATGAAATACTATCTGTAAAATTATCTATGTAAACAAACCTCATCACTTGAGAAGGTAGGTGATGTGGACGTCGTGGAAGAAATTTTGTCCCGTAACGCTCGCCGTACTGTTGGGGGGGAGAAGCGGTGGGGGGGAGATGTTCATGTTGCTGCGGTCTGCAGTCTGACCGCTAGATGTCGCTGAAAATTACACACTGTAGCTTTAAGCAGGAAACCAACCATGCATCACTAAGCGTACATCAGATGGTTGAGGCTGCCATGTGACAAAATAATAATAAAACAACTATACATTGTTTTGCCAGGCGCAGCATGTTAATTTTATTGGTCAAAATTTTTAGATCAAGTTTTCAACCAAAGCAGTGAACGATTGTTTCACTTATAGGACAGTATGGTTGATAAATTTATCTTCACATCAGAATCTTTGGCTTAAATATTAGTTTTAAAGAGAGGCTTGTTAAAGAGTAACTCTAATATATAAGCTCTAGATTATTTTCAGACTAGTTGTAGCTAAATGTTGTTCTTATTTCCAGGTTTTGGTGAAGAACAATGCTCGGCGAACTCGCTCCTTCTCCTGGACTCAGTTTGTTGAGGTTCGACTTGGTGCTTTGAGCCTCAGCCTGCATCAGCACCTGACAGTTCGTAGGAATGGAACCCGCATTGCGCTGCCGTACCACGGCCCTGGGGTGCACATTGACCTGGACGGGTACCTGCTGAAACTCACCACCATCGCAGGTCAGATCACATTAAGACTCTCTGTGTTATTCCTGGGAAATGTGTCTACATATTCACTAAACTTTGTTAACCACTTTTCTTCCTCCAGGTCTGGAAATCACATGGGATGGCGACAGTTTTGTAGAAGTTGTTGCTGCTCCCCACCTGCGTGGTCGCCTCTGTGGGCTCTGCGGGAACTACAATGGTCAGAAGCGTGATGATACCATCGGGGGCGACGGACAGTTAAAGTTTGACACTGATGAGTTTGCCGAGTCGTGGCGAGTCGATGGAAACGACGTTTGCGCCCATCAGCATCCACCTCGCAGGTCGACGTCTCACCTGTGCGCCGGCACTGTCAAAGTTAAGCTCCGGGCGCACAGAGAATGTCAGAAGATAAAGTCGTGGGAGTTTCAAAGGTGCCATCGTGTGGTCGATTTTGGACCTTTCTACAGGTAGGAGCAAGACTTACATATGGTGTTTAAAAAGGACTGGTGTTCATTTATTTTCTGTTTGTTTTGGGGTTAAGGTGGACTTTTCTTTTCACGGGCCTGTTTCAACCGATCCACCTTAAAATTAGGGTCGGGATCCATTTGAAAGAACTCTTTGTACTCGAGCTGATGTCGTTGAGAAGTTGCTTCAATATTTCCACAAAATGTTCTTTCCTTGTGATGCTGCGTAGTTTGAGAAGTTCAGCAATCCTCCTGCCTAACATTTTGCTGCCACCTCAAGCTTTGAGTTTTGATGGTTTTCTCAGGCTGGCAAGGTTCCCCATTTTCCTTTAAATGTAACGAGTCTCATTATGGAAAAATAATTCAACTTTAACGACATCAGGCTCCAAAAAGGAGGCCTGGTTTCAAACTAAATATTGACATTTTATCAGATCTGGGTTTTGTTCTTTTTCTGAACTCTGTCTTTGCTTGTGTATAACTGTATCAATGAATGTAAATCCCTTTATTGTCCCACAATGGGGAAATTTACTCTCTGCATTTGACACACCCCCTTGGTAGCAGTGGGCTGCCACTGTGTGGGGCCCAGGGAGCAATCAGGGGTTAAGGGTTTTGCTCAGGAACCTCAGGTTAAGGGTTTTGCACATTTATTTTCTGATTTCAGGACATAACTATGAAGCATGTCTTAGTTTGAGAAAAGGGTTTTAAATCAACTCGTCAGAAATTAAAGTGAAATAATTATCAAAGTGTTTTAAGTTATAGGAATCTTGGTTGAATGTATAATTTTGAATTACAAGAATATCTGACAAAAATCTGAATCAATATTCTGAAAAATGTCTATTTATATCAAGCTGCGCAACACTTAATATTATTCTACTTTTTCCAGGTCCTGTGTGACAGACATGTGTGAGTGCCCGGTCCATAAAAACTGCTACTGTGAGTCTTTCCTTGCCTACAGCCGAGCCTGTGAGAGAGAAGGAGTGCCTGTACTCTGGAAGGCTGACAACGTCTGCATGGGTTAGTGTTTTTGCTCATCATCTGCCCCACCCACTTTTATTTTATCTTATCCCTTTATAGGGCAAATTACCGTTTCTGATCCCTTGCAGACCCCTTACAAATGGAGTCCCCCCCGTCCCTCAGCGAGGTCTAGAAGCACAAGATCTATATCCAGCCTTTTAGAAAAGATACTGCTACATGCCTGTACATTTTAATTTAGCATTTAAACAATTAGATAAACCCATGAATGATATATTACCTACTGTAAATCAAGTTGAAAAAAAGGTAAAAAATCTCATTAAAAAGTTAAAATTATATTTAGGTTTATAAACTAAAAGAAATAATTTCAAGTATCAGCTTTAATGCCTCTAAGGTTATGTTGTACCAAAAAAATGCTTTTCTTTTACTCTTAGATTGTTTTTCATAAATTTCTTATCGAAGCACTTTTGTTATTTTTCTTAATATACTGTATTCAGGCAAGTTGGTGTTTCTTGTTATTACATTAAAATTTATTTTTGCCATCAACATTTTTGAATGTTACAAAGGTAATAAGGTCTTGTCCTGGATTCCAGTAACACAATTCGCTTGAAATTTTTTACTGAGTGCCCTATAAAGGGTTAAGGGTGCATGTCCTACGATGGAGTTTTAGGAGTTTTACTGCTCCTAAACTGTTTAATATGTACAATTTTGAGGAGTCTCCTGATAAAACTTTTTATTTTTTAATAGCATACCCAAACTGCAGCTTTGACTTGTGCCTGAAACCGATATATCAACACAAATCAAACACATTTTTATTGATTATTTTGAAATGAGAAATGTTGGAAAATGTTTGATCAAGTTATAATACTCAAGCAGAGAAGAATAGACATTTACAATAAGCGTTAAAAAAACCCCAACACATTTATTGTTTTCCAATGAGTTGCATAAACTTTAAACCAAAAAACATTTTTACAATTGATTAGGATAATTAATTAGAAGGCAAGAAACTGTCTTAGCATAGAGTGTTTTGATCACATTGTCTCTGTTTGCACAACAAGCGGCTCCATGCTAAATAGAAATGCTGGAGCAGACTAAATGATTTAGCGGCGTGCATCCATCAGCGAGCTTAAAGCAGAGAGATTTTAGATGCAGGCTGATATAACCTGATATTCGATTTTTGGCTGCGATTGGACCAATTTCAGGCATCAACATCAGATCAGGACCTCATTATTCATTTATTAATAGAAGCCTTCTTTTCCAGCAGATCTAATAACTGTTAGAAACCGAAAGTCTGAAGGGGAGATCACAGAGATCAGTTCAGGGAGCGTAGGAAATTTGACTGGCTTGAATATTACGGGACTCATGTTTGAGGGGGCTCTTCTCAATCCTTGAATCCAGCTTGTGGGGGTTAATCCAGAGATGAGGGAGCTCGTTGGAGGGCGGACAGATATACAAGCGTTGGACCCAGAGGAGTAAGGGAGCGGACTGTCACTTGGATTTACGATGAGGACTTGAACGGTTCATGTGGAGGTTTTCCCCTGCTCAATGTGTACTCAGTTAATCCTTCCAGGGGGAGAAGGTCCAGGTATCCAGTTACTCAGGAAGGCTTCCTGCCGAAAAGCAAAGACAAAAACTAGATAAGACTCGGAAACAAAGCTTAGGTTAGACTCTGCTAATCTCAGTTTGGCTAGAGTACCCAATACTGGCAAACACTATGGCATCGAGGTAGTGACAGCCTACTGCTCAAATACTCCTCCAGTAATGATCCAACGAGCCGCAGGTGTGCAGGGAGGCCCAACGAGGAACAGGGCACCACCTGGTGGTGGAGGGAGAAAAACACAGAAACAATCCACACAAACAGGATTCCTAACAGTCTTATAATTTGAAGATTTTCTTTGGTGGTGAAGCTTGAAGTCTCTGTGGTTTAGGTCTATGGCATCAGCCTTATTCTTTTGTTCCCTCCACAGGCTTAATTTAGCTGTGGCAGGCCCACTCCAAATGTTATTTCCAGCCAGAAGAAACACGTTAACAAAATAATTTTAAAACACAGCTGTCAGGGAATAAATTTTTTGGGTTTTAACTGTTTGAAATTTGCAAACAAATGTTGAATTGATCAATGTGGTTTATGTTCTGTCTACTTAGTTGCAAAAAAATTAAAAAATCAGCATTTTCCTTAAAATACTAAGAAAATGAGGCTTAGTAGTTTTAATCTCATATATTCAGATGTTGCTTCTTGTTTTCCTGGTTAAAAATCTGATTTCTGTACTTCTTCTTCCTCTTTGCCAGCCACCCAGTGTAAACACGATGCAGTCTATGACACCTGTGGACCCGGATGCATTAAAACCTGCGACAATTGGAATGAGATCGGCCCGTGTCATAAACCCTGCGTGGCTGGCTGCCACTGCCCCGCCAACCTGGTGCTGTTCCAGGGACGCTGCATCAAGCCCACATCCTGCACTGGACGGTGACCCTTGTTACCTCTGACTGGGTGCGGGGACTCATTTAGGGAAACTCATCTTTCCGTAAAGTCCAAACAAGAGGGCCAACTAACAGACGACCCTGATGGGTTCAAGTCAAGCAAGCTAATGCACAATGGTACTCAGGGTCCATAATGTTGCAGAGAAATGATTTAACATGAGAGAACCAAACAACAGGGACAGACTGACTCTCAGCATGCAGTCTCTGACGTTTTTGTGCCTCTTCTGATGCCAGGTACTGTGACACTTTTTGAAGAAAAACAAATTCTCAAGAGGAAACTCAGGGCATCATCTGGGGATTTTTTTTTTACCTCATATCTGAGGACCGTTCAGCTTAATGCTTTGTGGCCTTTGAGAAACTGCTTGGACCAGAGGACTCGTCTCTGAGCCGATGGGGCACCTTCTAGCAAAGACAGAAATCTGAAACACTGGGTATTTGGATTTGTGCATTAATGAGAAACTTTCTAATGCATCATATTAAGCTGCCCGGCTGATCTCTATTCCATCAGTGCATACTGTAAGCTAACCAGATTCATATAAGAGAAAAAAAAACCTGCTTTTATATTATTATTGCTCTAATTAATATTATGTGTTGTTAATGTTAATTTATATATCCTTCATTGACATGTTGTAGCAAGAGCCAGAATCAAGAAATCTAATTTTGTTTGATTTAAAGGGAAACAAAAAGCTATTTATGTATTTGTTGTGTACTTTTGTGTTACTGTTTGAAGAGAAATGCCCAAATGTGACTCAGTTATTGCACCATCGCAGGGAATAAGTACTGTAATGTATTAAAGCTCCATGTACAGTTTGTTGTGGATAGTATAAAACTGAAGGTGTTCATGTAAACAAATGTTTTACTTGATCATAACTATTTAAAACCAGCAATATATCATTTTCTGTTTCCTCTGGCTGCTGTCTATTTATCGTGTCGAATGAATAAATCAGCATCTTTAATCAGCAGAATTTGGGATTAAGAGTAAAATAACTAAACGAAAATCTAGATTTATACATGGTATTATACAATGACAGTATTGGAGGTGAGATTCTACGATATGACAATAGAGTCAAAAATAAAACGTGAACAAATCTGTTAGGAGATGAAAATCAGCTTAACATATTTTAAATATTGTTGAAGTAATCTAATCTTTTTTTCGAGATAATCTCTCTCTCTCTCTCTCTCTCTCTCTATATATATATATATATAAAGATATATATAAATACAGAAAGAGACAGACAGACAGACAGACAGACAGACAGATAGATAGATAGATAGATAGAATGAATGTTGGATCTTTTTTTCCCAGAGAACCAGATAAATAAATACAAATTTGTAGCTTTTATTTTTTCTGTACAAAGTACATGTTAGGGTGGTAGAAATGCAGATTTTTTTTATGGGGTACAATAGGACTAGATTGGTGTCAATTATGAGACCTTGATCAAATAAAGTTTTCATTGAGTTCTTAAAAAATTCAACAAAACAGCATCTTAACTTTCCAGTTTCATCCAGTACTGCAAAATGATGAAGCAATATTAGTTATGGGTGTCCTCCAGTTCTCACACTGATGGAATTGGATAAAGCACTTTTATTTCTTTGTGAACAAAAGTAACATTTGGAACTCCATACATCTCAGGTGTTTACTGGTGCATCCAGCTACTCTGCACCCTTATAGACTTGGGTTGTTGATCATTTCAGGCAGATATATGACTAAGTCCCTGAGTTTCAGCCATCTCCTTTGTTTCCTGCCTTTCATTACTGGACAAATTGATTAATCCAGGTGTATCTGGTCAATGTTTTCATGATTACTGTCAGAAACACCTGGATTACTCAGTCCAGCGATGCAATACAGGAAATAAAGGAGCTGGGTGAAGTTCAGACAGTTGGGCATGTACTGTAGCTCATTGCATTTCTTCATGATCTCATTGGCTGTGGCTTCCTCATCTTGATTTCCAGATGGAACTCTTCATCACTCTGACCTCTGACCTCCTTGACCTATCTACCCCTGTGTCTTCAGTTCCTCAGATAATGTTCCCAGCCATTATAAACTCCAGGCACTGAGAAATCTTTGCAGACACACACTCTGGTTTTGCAAGGCCTGTTTGTCTCCTCCATCAGTTGGTGATGGCAAACTCATAGAGGGAAATCATGCAACTTCTTGGTGCGGCTGGATGCAACCCTCCTATGTTAATGTGATATTCTAAAACCACTGCAGGTCTTGTGACTTGGACATGTTGCTTTTTTTTTAACCATATGAAACAATCTCATAGACTGTAGATGCCATAAATTAAATAAAACTGTCATTTTGCCATTAAAAATAAACAAGTAGAGTCTTAGAAACTCAGATAAAAGGTTCCTCAGATGTTTTTCAAAGCAAAACATTGAAAAACATTTTAGGTATAAAAAGCATGTGAAGCATATGAGAAATTAAGAAAAAAACGAATGTTTACTGAAGTATGAAAAGAATAACTTCTGGGTCTCAGAGGGACAGACAGGCCGACCAATCGACCGACTTATAGAAGAAACTCCATGCTTCATCTTAATTAAATAAACACATTATGGATTTCCTTATTTTAAAATCTAAAAATACAGATAAACTGTTTGTTATTTGAAATGGCAACAAATTTCCGATATCAGATATTTAACAACAATAACAAGCTTTGTTTTATTGAGAGGCGATGTAATATTTGCAGCTCTGATCAACTTTTACATGGCTGCAAACAGGAAAAAAAGGCTGTTTAGATTTTAAAGGTTGCAGACTCCTTTTTTAAACAATATAGATTAATGATATAAACAGCTTTTTCAGGACATGATAAAGGGCATCATTAAAAAAATTGCTCTGCTGCAGCAACAATCTTGGTTGTTATGGTTACAGGAATCATCAAACTGACTTACACTGTAGAGTCATTCTGGCTGACCAGGATAGGACTTTGGTTGTTTGGATTATAATCCAGGTTAATAAACTAAATGTATTTCAGCTTTATATTTTGCTCTGAGTTCTTTTCTTTCTTCCTTATGAGTGGAAGAGGTGCTATAGGGAGTATTTCTAGTAGATCAGTGATTCATGGGAAGCTCTAACATTGTTTCTTGTTTCCTCCATTCATTTGAAATGTTTCTCACCTTGGTTTGCTGGAGTCCCAAAGTCTTAGTCACTCTTTCATAACTGATTCATTTGAAGCGCTTTGTTTCCGTTTTAAAGGATTGAAGAGTTACAAAAGGTGATGTTTGAGGGATTTCATTTTGTATTTATTCGGGTTATTTTGCGTGGAGTGAAATTTAGTTGGAAGGATCTGCACGTTCAAAAAAAATAAAGAAAGAAAGAAAAAAACGTTAAAAAAAACATTCCACTGGACTTTGTTTCCAAGTTTGAGGACGTTTCGCTTCCCATCCAGGAAGCTTTTTCAATTCAAAATGTCAGGAATAGCGTTGAGTTTGAGGTTTCATACGGTAGCCCAACAAAGCCTTGTTTTTGTTTTGAAAACATGCAAAATGAAACTGATGAATCAGTCCACCGCTTTGGAATGGGAGGCCTCAACATTATTCCTGACATTTTGAATTGAAAAAGCTTCCTGGATGGGAAGCGAAACGTCTTCAAACTTGGAAACAAAGTCCGTTGGATTGATTTTGAACTTTTTTCATAATGTCTATGACCTGGATGATTGAGAATCTTCACCAGCTTCTGCACATCAATGCAGAAAGAAAACAACAATAAATAACAGATATCTAGAAAGAGGAAAACACAGCAGAACACTCACTGACACACTGGTGTAAAGCATAAAGTAAAAACAGAAATCCAGCCATTAATGTGTCAAACTATTTTTACTGACATTTGCAAACTACAATCCTAACAAACTCTGATAAAACCCTAAAACAAAAACACCACATCTAAAATAACAAATACAACACAGTAAATAAGAAAACTGAACAATTTTGCAGGACATGTACAGGGTTTAGCAGAAACACCAGAGTAGGACACATTTGTCAGTTTTTTTTTTAATGTAGTTCCATGAGTCAACAGTAAATGCTTACATTTTAAGTAGGTGTCTGAAAATACACAAAGCTTGATTTTGAAAGTTTCATTAGCTGCAAAGACAGGTGTTGTTAGTAACATGTTTTGTTAGTTAGATCTACTTAGATAGAAACAGTGTTTTCCATTAGAACTGAAAATCTAATTTGTTTTAATTCCATCTTGAAAAAACACCGGAATACCAGTTAAATAAGTATTTCCACACTACGTTCCACATTTTACTGTTAATATGTTTGTAAACATGTCCCTTTAATATTTTAATACCCAAAATGGAAATACAGATGGTGATATGATTGTATTGCATATATCAATAAGCACCAAATGAAACAAGTTGTTTCCCAACCTGCAACTGAAAAGCATTTCTCATTATTTTAGTTGTTATTTAATGCAGCATGTATCCAGTTAGTATGCAGCTATTTAAAAAGGGGTCCATAAACTCATTTGTGGTTATTTAACACTGGCATTAAAAAGCAGTTTTTTTCCCCACTTTAAGCACCATTAAAGGAATAGTACACCCAAAACATGATTAGCCTTCATTTTCTACTCACCCCCATGCTGAACAACACTCTGGAGTACTTTTTTGATATCTCAAATGCATCTGGAGATCTGGGAGGCTTCTTGCTGTCTGCTGACATTCAAATAATTGAGGTCTATGGTGCCCGAGGCAGAAAGGTCCATAAAAGTCCACAAAAAACGTGTCAATATTCCTCCATACTGCTCGTCCAATGTATTCCAAGTGTCCTGAGTGGGTAGCATCCAGAATTTACTCGAAACGAAGTTATTTAGAATGTTTTTAGAGCATAAACAGTAGTGTATAGGATTTCCTAAAAGCGTGTTCACGAGTCTACGGAAACCGCGGCAGACCAAGCCAGACGAAAGTGCGCATTCAGCGTCTGCTCTGCCGATAATGCAAGCGTAGAAGAAGAAATGTGCTGTTTACCTGTGCAAAGAAAGAAACAATGAAAGAAAAATGTCTGAGGACTTCAGTGTTGAGGAAGAGCATGAGTTCTTTGCCGAGCTGAATGCTCACTTTCGTCTGGTTTGGTCTGCCGCGGTTTCCGTAGCGTCATGAACGCGCTTTCAGGAAATCCTATACACTACTGTTTATGCTCTAAAAACATTCTAAATGACTTTGTTTCGAGTAAATTATGGACGCTACCCACTCAGGACACTTGGAATACATTGGACGAGCAGTATGGAGGAATATTGACACGTTTTTGTGGACTTTTATGGACCTTTTTGTCTCGGGCACCATAGACCTCCATTATTTGAATGTCAGCAGACAGCAAGAAGCCTCCCAGATCTCCAGATGCATTTGAGATATCAAAAAAGTACTCCAGAGTGTTGTTCAGCATGGGGGTGAGTAGAAAATGAAGGCTAATCATGTTTTGGGTGTACTATTCCTTTAACACACTAAATATTATGTCTTTTTTATTTTCAGAATTTTTCATATTCTTAGCTATTATACTCCAGCCTTGTTGAAGGTAACATGACTTTATCTTTGATAAAGTTTGTTTAAACTTCATTGACAACAGTTTACAAAGAAAGCTCATCCCTCTGCTTAGTCTTCTAATTAAAATCTATGTGATTCACCTTTATGCTCATCACCTCTAGTTAGAATTTAAAATAAACACTGGGTAATGGCCTTTGCAGCCAGGTTCAGACAGATAAGACGTATAGCATGCTTTTTTTGTGTTTTTTTTAAGCAAAGTGGTGTTTATTTATTTACTTTCACTCTGGCCGAGTTTGTTTATTATTTTTTCCTAAGTTACAGTTGGTTTAAAAGCAATGGTTGCAAATAAAAGCTCCTTGGAGGACACAAGGAAGTGACTTTATAGGTTTTTTAAAAATGGAAAAAATCCTACAGCTTATTTGACTGGGATTGA